TTTGTCTTTTTCCGTGTCCGGCAACAGATCGCAACCCTCAGTGTTGCCCCCGTACCGGGCGAGGATCGCAAACCTCGGTGTTGCTCCCGCGCCTCGCTCAGCCAGTGAGCGGAACCGGTCTGTATGTGGGATCCGAACCCTCGGGCGGGAGCGCCGCCGCACTTCCCAAGCGCCACTGGGCCGGCCCCTTTCCACAAGCTTTTTGAAGTACCTGTGTGGAGGGGGTGTGAGGATTCTCACTCACAAATTCTTAAGTAATATTCAGAACATCCAAACTATGGCCAGGAGAAAAAATTCAAGCAAAAGGATCACAGTGTTTCAACATTATTATATCTTGTCTCCACCAAAGTGAGAAAGATGCAAATAATTACATAAGAATGAAGATACAATAATTACTTATGTTTTTCTCTTGTTATTAACCTCATGAGTACCTACTATGATTTACAAATAATTCATTTATTATAACTGTGTAGTAACTGTACTTACATGTAACTGACCCAAAGAAAGTTTGTCTCTATACTGAAGAAGTTGAATAAACACTGACTCTTCATGCGAACTGGCATTTTAGGTCTTCTTTGAGAAATTCCGAACTAATAGAGTAAAAATTAACAAATATTCAGATAATTGAGGTAAAGTACTGTTTGGGATAAAACTATCACATAGATACACAATTTTGTATACCTTCTCTCATTTACAAATGAAAATGTGGTCTGAGCATATTCATTGTTAAATAAAAATGCTCGTGCCTCTTATTTCAGTGGTGGAAGAATTGTAAAGGGCTTGGCTACATCAGGAGTGAATTGAACATATGCACGTGTTAATGAATCACATATTTTATAGAGAATTGCTTTTTCTTCCTGAAGATTGTTCTGTACTCCTAGGAAATAATCATATCACATGTTTTATAGAGAATTGCTTTTTCTTCCTGAAGATTGTTCTGTACTCCTAGGAAATAATCATATTTTGAATTAGATTTAATTTGTTTCATTTTAATGATCACAAATAATTACCATAATATTATCCCTTTCAGTATAGTCCAAAGGGGAACATAAAACGAAATTCTCCATTATTCGAAAAAATGTGGGAAATTTAGTAATGGTATTCTATCTTTTCAAATATATGTGAATTGTACACTACTTTAGGTTCACTATTTAGCAAACTTTACTATGGCTCAACACTAAATTAAATGAAATAAATATAATCAACTACTTGGTTAATTAGCACTTCATTTGCGTGTTATATCTGAATAAAAAGGATCAATTCAGAGCCTCTACCCTATAATTCAAATCTCTTTAAAGACACTGATTCTCAGATTTCAGCGGGTATAATAATCCCCTGGAGGGCTTGTTAAAACAGGTTGCTGGGATCCAACCCCAGATGTAGTAAGCCTAGGACGGGATCCGAGAATCTTCATTTCTAACAAGTTCCCGGTTCATGCTGTTGCCATAGGAAGGGGGCCTGACTTTGAGAGCCACCAATAAAACAGTGAAGAAGTTGGATCTTAACCTTTAGACAGACTTATTTGAGTCATTTCATTTCTATGCATTTCATTTCTAGCAAAAGCCATAGCTTGCAGAATATAAAATCTATTATATTCAGCAAAATGTAATACAATGTGCTGTTATTTTTCCTCGCTGATTGTAGGCACAGTGTATATCAATGTCAACAATCTAAAAGCTCCTTCCAGAGGAAGCTTCCAGAGTCAAACATTGATCCTAAGTCTTTTTTTTGAAGGATTGTAGGTAAAAACAAGCTTTCAATAAAGAGTGGCCATGATTTTTGCCATTTCTAGTGCTTTAGGCTAAAGCAAAACTTTACAAATTTAAGCTCATGTTTGCCATCTGCTGATATATTTGTGAACTACAAGCGGTCTCTATTAACCAATAGTTGGTTGATACAGATTGTGTTCAGGTTTTTGTGTTTTCTTTTTTTTTTTTTTTCTTCATTTCCAAAACCAAATAGACAAGTTTTAAACATGTTTTTTTCCCTAAAAGCACTGTATTTCAGAATTTACTAAACTACTAGAAGAAAACTATTTCCTAAACAAATCATATTCATTTCAAACAACTAGGTTGCATGGAAGTTATTTTAATTCTTCCTACTGACAAATGACATTACAAATTTGTATCTCAGTATACATGTCTTATATCTAGAATAAATTACATTAATAAAATATTTTAAATGGATAAAATATCAAACTCTTTAATTGTTTAAGCCAAATAAGATGTTTATGCATATGATTTGCTTTTAATTGCAGTACAATGAGAAGGATATGAAATTAATCATGTTAATAATATCAAAGCAAAAAGAAGGAAACATTTCCAGAGAACTTGCGCCAAACATCTTCCAGTTCTTATTTATGCTCTTATCCAAATTTTCTTCTTACATTTAGCATTCAGCTTTGTTATTCATTCAAGTAGGTCATGTGCTCCTGGTCTCAACTTAAGCTTTACAGACTTAATCAGGTTGAATAAAACATATCATATCTGAGGCATCGATCATGGACTCAAAAAACGTATTATTGGACACTTAATATAGGGCAGTCACTGTGCTTAGTATTACACTGTCATTATCTTGTTAAATTCTCACAAGTTCATCATATCTCTAAACTAAAGATTAGGAAGTTGAAGTTTAAAAACGCTAAGCAAGTTGTTCAAGGTCACAGAGCCAGGATTTGCACCCAGATGACCTGACCACCTGACTCTACCGAAGAGTCAGGCAAAAATAATTGTCTGAATTATTTTGTGCAAGACCACCAGCATTCATCCTTTGGCTAAAATTAGTGCTTGTTTGACATCTTCCCAAGCCTGTTAAAATGGTAATATATACCAGTTTGCTCTAATTCCCACCTTAACATTTTTTAGGGAGAGAGTAAACAAAATAAGATATCCATTTTACTGGCTGTTAAAATTTCTTGATCTGGTTTGGTCATATGTGTAGGAAAAGTGAAGATCTTTAGCGATTCAAAGTATGAGTTGTGGAATAAGTCATGCCTGGGTTACAGTCCCTGATTGAGCAATAGCTGTGTGTTCTTGGGAAAGTCACAAATAGATTACTCGAGAAGTATGTGCTGGGCTCTGGGCATATGACTGTTAATAACACAGATAGGATTGCCCCATCATGGGACCAACATTTTTTTCTTTTTTAATTTCCCCAGACTCCTGTATCCTCATCTTAAATATATATAATAACTGCAGTAAATTCATAAAAATTCTGTTTTGGTGATTTGCATGAGGCACTGAGCACAACGGTTTGTAATAAAGTTTAGCCAGGATGATAATGATCATGTTGGTCATTGTGTGTTGATGAGCACCACTCTTTCCACCAATTTGATAAAATCAGCCAAATAAAGGTGATGAAACCTTTTCTGTCAGTACTAGTATTGCTCCTTATCCATAGTGGGCATATTTAGGGACTTCCAATGTATACCTGGTACATTGATTGAATTATGCCCCCCCAAAACTCACTGGAACTTGAATTGTGTTCCCCAAATTTTGTGTGTTAGAAACTTAACCCCTACTGTGACTGTTAAGAGGGTGGGAAATCCTATTATGGTAATTGAAAGGTGGAGCCTCGAAGAGGTGATTGGAGTGTAGAACCATGCAGTAGTGAATGGATTAAAAATGGTGGTCAGGGATGTGGTTCTGAGGGCTTTAAAAAAAGAGTAGAGTCTGTCTCTCTCTTTGCTCTCTCTGCTTCCACCATCTTGCAAAGTAAGACCCCTGGGTCACTGTTGCCACCACCAGATGGAGGGATGTGGTTCTGAGGGCTTTAAAAAAAGAGTAGAGTCTGTCTCTCTCTTTGCTATCTCTGCTTCCACCATCTTGCAAAGTAAGACCCCTGGGTCACTGTTGCCACCACCAGATGGACTTTGGACTTCCCAGCCTCAGAAACTGTACACAATGTTTTATTTTCTTTATAAATCACCCAGTTTCAGGTATTTTGTTATAAGCAACAGAACAGACTGATACTTCCGGTATATGACAGAAGTAACATCTGAGCCCCTCTTAGGCAAAGTACTTGAGATCAGAAGCAATCCTTGCACTGGATTGACATTGGGTAAGTTCCAGAGTCAAGACAAGAGGTCATTATGTGCTTCCCCTTCTCTCTTGGAAACCTGCACAGCTGCCAGGAAAGCCAGCTCACTTCTACCATGCTGGAAGATGAGACACGTGGAGGTACATCTGACCACAGGTGTACAAGTGAGCCCAAATGAGGCCAGCCCAAATTTGTACCTACAGAACTATGAGTTAAATTGATTATTGTTATTTAAAGCCACTAAATTTGTTTTTTGTTTGTTCTTATTGAAACATATTGATTACACATATCTGTGAGGTACAGAGTTCAATATCAATACACGTATACAATGTGTGATGATCAAAGGGTAATTAGCATATTTGGGCATCACAGACCTCCAAGCTGCTTTGATGTTTGGGGGTCAAATCAAAGAGAGGCCCCAAAAATGACAGCTGGGCTTGAATCACTTGGAAGGCAATGGTACAATTCCCTGATTAAGTGATTGCAGAACAGGGAGAGAAACCAGACCAGAGAGAGATGGTGAGTTCGTTTTCAGATATGTTGCATTTGAGGCATCTGGCCTGCTTTTCAGGATTGGGTTCATATACTAAATAAATATTTTTTGCTTTATTATTGTACAGTCCAAACTTGTAAAATTCTACCATACTACCTTACCACTGGAAATGATCAAAGTGGGAACCCCCATTAAATCTACATATTAAATCCAATGAGGACTTTAGCGAAAATACACGATCGCCCGCCCTTAACAGAGGAGTTGGTTGGCTTTCGCGCATGCTCGGTACGTATCACAGGCTCCCAGCTCCCCGAGTCGTCGAAGCGCGGAGAAGCTGTTGCCCTCTGCTGGTCAGATCTGCGTAATGCAGCGCAAGGAGAGGAAATTCCTAGGGCCTATTAGCTGGCTGATGACGTAAAAAGCAGGCGTCCGGGAAGAAGCGGTTATGCTTTCGTCCGTGGTACGCGCCGAGGGAAACCTGACAAGCCGCATGGCTGCGGGTTGTTCAGTGGGGCCACGGCCGAAGGCGGCCTCTGAGCGGCCTGTGGCAGGACCCGCCAGCGTCCTGCCTTGCTTAGAGCTGCCGACTTACGCCGCTGCTTGTGCGCTCGTGAACAGCTGCTACTCTTGCCTAGTGGCCGGGCCGCACCGGAGGCACATTGCACTGTCGCCCCGCTACCTTAACAGGAAACGCACTGGCATCCGAGAGCAACTCGATGCGGAGCTCCTGCGCTATTCCGAGAGGTACCGGTCTCTTTGCCTTTTTTTTTCTCCTAGCGGGCAGCGCCATAATGTACGGGGTTGTCCCTTCCTTTGGGTACAGGAAGGGGCCGCGGATGGGCGTGTTGATGGCGCTGCAGAAAAGGAGCGACTGGTATGTATAGGTCGCGCCTGCTACGCGGAGCTTAGCCCCTGGGACTTCTGGAGTCGCACCCCACCTCGCAAAGCCGGTACCGCGGTGGTCGAAATCTGTACAGGGTCCCTTTCATAGGAGGGGAGGAAAACTTAAAGATGAAGTCAAAGAGTCAGCGGAGGGAGTTAAACCGCTCTCTCCAGAACTGTGGTGTAGGAGTAAAATAGACCTGGGGTATGGAGACCTGGTAGGCCCGGTTCTGTTTGGCACTGAACGTCTCATTTAGCCCCTTCCGAATGTTTTCCCCTTTGACAATGAAAATTTGGTATGCAGTATTAAGTAGATTCTTGGTCTTCCCGTAGAAGATGGTACATGATGCATCGGTACACCGTTTAATTGTGCAAAACGATGGGTGGGTTTTGTTGCTTGGTTTAGCCCTGGTGATTTCCTCGGGTTCTCTTCTCTTGGACGTGATCGAGGATAAGGGAAATACTGTTTTGTTTTGTTTTGTTTTGATTTGAATGAAGAGTTTATTCATTCTAACTGGCGAGCCTTTTGCTCTTGGGAGTGAAATAAAACCTTCTGGTGCATTTAAGTTCAGGTGTTCGTAAGTAATCTGTAAACTCTTAGTGCTCCAATACAATTACGGGGGTTGGAGGATGTGTGACTAAATATTCCTCTGAACTGCTTTGGCTCAAAAAAAGGGTTCTAAAACTATAATGAATGGATTCTCTAGGGATTCATGATTGTCCTTAAGGAATTCCATTAACCCTTGGAAATGACAGGAATTTCCAATGCGAATTTCCGTAAGCAAGGTATACAAAGCTCTCACCACTTTCTGGAGTGATCCTGGATCCCACGCAGAGGTTAAGAATCAAACATGTCTAGAATATACAGCTTCCTCCAAGCACCGACACACACACTTGTTATATGTCTGTCTATATTATATACCAGGGACTTGGGATATGAAAAAAAACAAAAACAAAAAATAAGATTCCTGTTTCAGAAAGATTTAAGCTGTAGTAGAGATATAAATGTAAGCCAGATAAATCCAGTGTGGTGTTAAAATTTGACAGAAATCTAAATTAAGTTACAATAAGAGAAAAAGTGATGAATTGGATCTTGGGACCTTTGAGAACAACTTGGTAGAAGAGGGTACTTTGAGATGGTACAGGCAAATGAGAGTGGCATAAATATATAGGTAATAGATGTGAATTGGTATGCGTGGACCAGAGAACTGTAAGTACTATATAACTGGACTAAGGTGTATGTCGGGTGAAAGGCACTAGGTGCCTTTGGATTGGAGAGCAGGAGATCAAAGACAGGGGTGGGAGATGAGTCAGAAAGGGTGGCTATTTTGCTCTTTCCTTCCTTCCTTTGGCATTTTTTTGTTGGGTTTTGTTGTTGTTTGGGGTTTTTTTTCCCCCACTGTTTTCTTAAGCATGTTTTGGGCTTAGTCCTCTCAGTACCCTCCAATGGGTTTTTTTTTCCCCCACTGTTTTCTTAAGCATGTTTTGGGCTTAGTCCTCTCAGTACCCTCCAACTCCTGAGCCTTGGCACACTCCTGAAAGAGCAGTACATACCACAACCCCTGGGACATAATCAGATTCTCAGTTTAAGAAACAGCACTTGGTAGCATCATATGATGGTTTAGACAATAGAAAAGGAGGTCAGTTAAGAAGTTATAATTAACCAAGAGAATAATGACTAGAGAGGATGGATTTGAGAGATTTAAGGTTATACAAGGTTGTCATGAAATCTGGAAACATGGGCAATGTGTTGCCACTTACTGTAATCATTATTGCCTCCACTTGACAGGCTAGAGGAATGTCACCCAGAGTGGCTCCAGTAGGAGCCATTACACCAGAGTGATAAGAGAATGACTGAATGATAATTTCTATAACTGAGTTGGACAGCCTTGCCCTGTAGAGCAGGGTACACTCTGAATAGATCTTAATCTCCCTGTCCCTCATTACTTGAATGCTAAAGACTCGTGTTTATTCAGTGCAAAAATGCATCACACATTGAGCTATGCATTACTAATGAAGGACAAAACAGTGAACATACCGAGAATTGTAATGTGATATCTATTAATTAATTATTATATATAGTTGTTTGTGTTTCCAGACTTTTGGGCAATCCTGTAGAATCAGTAAGACTTGATTCTCCTTCTTTAAAGACTGAGGAAAATGGAGGAATTGAGAATGACCCTCATATTCGTGTTTAAGTCATCTCAGCAGCATCTCCTATTTTGACAGACTGTCCACTTTTCCTTCCCATTGACAGGATTTTTTAAAAGGCATTCCGTTTCAATTTTGGACTGTCTGCTTAGAGAAAGTAAGTAGTTTTTAAAATCACATTATAACTTTTGACAAAGGTGGACCATTGAGAGGCCATTTAGGGAGGAGGAAAAAAAATTGTCTTCCATATGATAGCCTTTGAGTTACTTGAAGATGGCAAATATGTTCGCTCTCAATAGATCCAGAGAAGTCTCAAGTGTACAATCTAAGCATCCTTTAAATTTGATTTACTTATTCCCTAATTATCTCCAGTGAGGCTGTTATCAACTTAGGATGGTTTCTGGAATACAAAAATAAAGGAGAAAAAGATAAATAGTGTTGGGGTCCTTGTCTTGGCATATCTGATGCCTTTTAGTAAGTTACATGCTGTGAGATGCCAAGGTTTGATGGATTTAAACAAATCCTTTTGTCCTTAGGCTTTGTTGTCCTGTCTCCCAGTCATCAGTTCTGAACCTTATAGGACCCAGGGCTTCCCTTTTATAAGAAATATTTTGCAGTACCACTTTTATTATTGTGAAAATACTCTTTAATGTGCAGAAATGAAATTTAAAGATACTATAACCTACCTACAGAACTTCCAAAAAAATCTACATAGTGCTCTAATACAATACAGTTAAATGTATTTCAAAATGATGATGCTCAAGCATGATTTCCTGGGAAGACCAAAGTAGTTAGATGCCTCTTGCACCTATACCTAAGAATCACTGTGAATGTGTTAGTTACAGTAAATGTGTATTGATGCAGGTGTTGGAACTGACAACTCACATAACACAGAATTTTTAGTCACCAATACTTTTCTGAAATAGTTGAGAAATTCTTGGTAAAGTGTCACACAAAACAATAATTTACATATTACTACATTCCTGAAAATTTTAATGTATATTAAAACCATGCAAAGATGATTTTGTACTGATATGTTTAAAAAAAATAGATTCTCTGCCTAACTATTTATAAATGTTTGTTTTCTTACTCAAAACTCATGAAGGATATTTCTTCATTGTACAGGACCATCCTATTCATGGCAGACTCAGACTATCTCCCTTCCCTGGCTTTTGAAATGTTTGCAACAACCATGAATAGTACCACAAATTCCCAAATGGTCCCCCAGGTGCAGCAATACTCCCTCCCTTGAGAATCATTCTGTGACAATTAAGAGAGAAGGCTTTGATTGGGGGGGGGGAGCTCCTAATTTTTGTTTTTCTGTCTAGTATGACAGTTAATTTATTTTTTTCTTTCTGCTGCCTGCTGTCTTACTCTATATTTTCTGTGACCCTAATATCGTCTTAATGATGGTATAATACCTGCTTAGGAAAGCCACATGCAGAAATTAACAACTGAAAAGAGAGCTTTCCTGAGCAAGTTTCTGAGTTTATGATTTTCCTAATTTGGTAGTTATTAAAGTTTCTTTTCTGCGGCTCCTGACTTTTACTAAACCCTCTGTTAGTGACAAATTGTTCCTCTTTTTTTATGTGAATCATGCTAGAAATTTAATTGAGTCCGGCAAAAAATTGTTCTCTGCTATCAAGGGCCTTACAGTCATGTGTGGAATCCAAACATAAATATAAATAGATTCAATAAAATTAGGTTCAGAACAGTTGTAAAGTCATATACTTGGGGTCCTATAGAAGTAGAGGAGTGATTTCAGCTTTGCCTTGGGGAGTCAGAGAAGTGTGGTAGTGAAGCCACCATGTCTTTCTCTTTAGTAGTTATAATTCCTTGAGAACTAGGAAATGACATTTTGAATTAATAGGGGCACCTTAATCCTCACTGTCAAACTTATAGTCTAATCTAAAGTATTGTCAATTCTCAGTACGTGATGTAGTTACATTTCTTAACATTTCCATTTACTAATAACACTTGCATTTCGGGATTTTTCTCTATTAAGTCATTGGCTGTAATATTCAGGGGCTTCTTCTTTAACCCTAATGCTTCCCTTGCTATATGCCATCAAGTATAGAAATTGAGTAATGGCAGATAATACCAAAATTGCCTGTGATTTAGTCATACTCACAGAAATACACAGACATTTTCCTTGCCAAGTCCCATTATTTGTCTTTCTGACATGACTAGAATTCAAACTGATAGCAAATAGGGAAGAAGGGTCAATTTAGTGCTCATGCATAATTGGACGCTTGGTTTTTAACTACCTATCTTGAATAATAATTTTTTAACTTAGCCAGCAATTTGGAACCCTTTGGTGAAATGGGACTGCTAAAGTTGTTACCAACCAATCATGTTATTGTGTTTTTGACATGGATGATATATTTAGGAAGTGTATACTTTTTTGGACTCTTAGAATATCTAATCAGTATGATAATGGCCTTGTTTAAATGATATCATTTTCTTTTCCTCCTTCTTCTTTTTTTTTTCTTTTAACAGCCTTTTAGGTGTCCCCATTGCATATGATAACATTAAAGTTGTGGGTGAACTGGGAGATATTTATGATGATCAGGGACACATTCATCTTAACATTGAAGCAGATTTTGTTATTTTCTGCCCTGAACCAGGACAAAAGCTTATGGTATGTATATTATTTTTTCTAGCTTTTTTTTTTTTTTTTTTATAATTATGTATATTTGAAAATTTTAAGAGACTCTACACGTTGGGACTCAAAAAAATTGCTGTTGTGGATAAACAAAAATTGTTTTAAAAGAAAAAAGAAAAAAATAGTTTTTATCAGTTCAAGCTCAGTAAGTTTTTAAACTCCATCCTAAAACACATGCATGCATAAATATATGTCTCATCCAGTTTATTCTTTGCATAGTACCAGAATGATCTTAAGGGGAAATAAAATCAATTATTATTTTTAAACTTCTCAATTCTATGTAAATATCTTCTTTTATAAAGGATTCAAACAGTAGAGTGGTATATAAAACAGGAGTTCAAATGGTTGTAGGGCCAGGCAGGTAATGAAAATTCAAATTGTTGTGGGGCCAAGCAAGTAATGAAAATGAATGAATGAGGGAGGAGAGGATAGCCATTTTGTGCCATGAAAATGAAGGCCCTGTGTGGAAGGTCTTCCAGTTTTTCAGAAGCTGGAAATGCAGACATTGATGTGAAATCCACTGAATTGTATCCTTGTATCCTTTTATCCTCTTTATTTGCCCCCTTCTTCCTCCAGCAGTTCCGGGGTGTGTGTGTGTGTGTGTGTGTGTGTGTGTGTGTGTGTGTGTGTGTGTGTGTGTATGCACAGGAATTGCTTAATCTAATAAGAACTGTTAACTAACTGATTTTATTGTTAATAAAAATATGTAGCATATTTCACTATGACAAAATCCACAAGGTACTTCTAATTTTGTATTTATTTTTAAAATTTTAATTAAAATGGTAGAAGTAGTATTTTTTGTCTGACAAATTTTACAATCAGATTCCATGCTCTTAAAGTTGGCAGTAGATTTGTATTTGAAAATTCCCAATTATAACTTCCATCTGCTTTGTGTAAGTTATTATCATAGATGTAAACATGTACATGGGAAAACGTTCAAATTGTACAGTAAGTATGAAATGAAAAGTATTCCTTTTAGTCTGTCCCCTCCAACAAGATCCAGTCCTCAAATACTTTTGGCCAGTCCATATTTTTTCTCAATTTTTATTTATTTTTAGTGAGATATAATTTATATATAATAAAATACACAAATCATAATGTGAAGTTCAATGAATTTTGACAAGTCCATATACCATTCCATCTCTGTGGAAAGGAGCCTCATGCCCTTTCACTTTCTTCCAGATACAACTACTGTTCTGAATTTTTTATTATAAATTAGCTTTGCTTGATCTATGATTCCATATTACAGAATTATTCATTATATCCTCTCAAAATCTGGCTTTTGGTCAACAGGTGAGCATGTTTTTGCGTCTTATTTATGCTGTTGCATGTATTTTGGTAGTTTGTTCCTTTTTATTGCTCATGGTATTCAATTATATGAATATATCACAATTTGATTATCTGTCTTAAATTTTGGGCATTTGGGTTATTTGCAGTTGTGGGTTATTTGCAGATGGGGGCTATTATGAATAAAGCTGTTGTGAACATACATTTTCATTTCACTTAATTAAATAACTAGAAGTGGAAGTGCCAGGTCATAGGGTAGATATGTTTTTGACTTTATGAGAAACTATTGTGATACTAATTTCCCATTCATCACTTCTAGTTGCTCTACATCCTGGCCAGCATTTGATGTTGTCGGTATTTTAATTTTATTAGAGGGCATATAGTAATATCTTTATGGTTTTAATTTGCATTTCTCTTATGAGCAGTTTTTGTATGTTTCAGTAAGAAGGGCCTGTTCAAGTATTTTGCCCATTTTTAACTGGGTTTTTGTATTTTAATTATTGGATTTTTAATAGTTCTTTTTATAGTCTTGATACATATCCTTTCTAGATAAATGTATTGCAGATATTCTCTTCAATTCTGTGACTTGTCTGTTAACTTTTAATGGTATCATCTTTAATGAATGGAAGCTTTTAGTTTTGATGAAGTACAATTTATCATTTTATACTTTCATGACTATTGCTTTCTGGATCCTATCAAAGAAACTTGTGTACCTCCAGGTTGTGAAGATATTCTTCTGTAAATTTCTAGAAATTTTGTGTTTAGCTTCTCCATTTAGGTGTATGAATACAATCTTAAATGATTTTTTTATGTTTAGTTTGAGGTAGGCCTTGAGATCCATTTTCTTCTCCATATAGCTATCCAGTCGTTCCAGACCATATATTCAAAAGGCTTTCCTTTCATTAAATTGTTTTTAATTGATACACTATTTTTTGCAGCAGTTTTATATTTACAGAAAAATTGAATAGATAGTACAGAATTCCAGTATAACCCCACCACCACCACCACACACACAAACATACAGTTTCCCCTGTTATTGACACTATCTTGAATTACTATGGTGTATTTGTTACAGTTGTTGAGTCAATATTAATACATTATTGTTAAATAAAGTACATAGTTTGCAGAGTTTCTTCTTTGTGTTGTACATTCTGTGGGTTTTGACAAATGTGTGATGACATGTATCTGCTATTCCAGTATCATACCGAATAGTTTCACTGCCCTAACAACCTCCTGTGCTGCACTTGTTTTATCCTTCCCTCCCCCAGTCACTGTCAACCACTGATCTTTTTATTATTTCCATAATTTTATCTTTTCCAGAATGTCATGTAGTTGGAGTCATATAGTATGATTTTCAAATTGACTTCTTTCACTTAGCAATATGCATTTAAGTTTCTTCCGTGTCCTTTTCTAGCTTGATAGCTCATTTCTTTTTATTGCTGAATAATATTTCATTGTATAGCTGCACCACAGTTTATTTATCTAGATCATCCAGAAACTACCAGTGAGGACACCAGACTCCTGATCCTGACAGATAAGGAAGTTTTATTTTGCCACATATGTAAAAGCATTGTTGAATTAGTATTGAATTATGTACATATAAATATTATTTACAGTTTTATAATTCAGATAATGTGAATTTTAAAAATATTTTAGGGTTTTTCATTTGTACACTTTGTATATGTTGATTACAGGGGGGAAAATGGAAAACGAAGTTTTATGAGGTTTCATTTTAAGCTTTAAAAGTGCATACTTTTATTTTAGTTTTAAAGTTTCTAATAATGATTTTGTGGTTTAGCCAAAATAGTCATGCTCAAGATTTACATATAAAGGGTAAGCTGTCTTTTAATAGGACTGCTTACATCATGCTAAGTTGAATCATTAAAGAATGCATTTTTAAGCTTTGAAATTCAGTCTGTTTACAGAAATGTAATGTGGAGCTTAGTTATAAAAAGCATATGCTTCCTGCCTTGAGGTCTTTTCACATGTAAGTCATATCAGAGAGTATGGTTGGTTTCGGTGTTGTTTTAGAATAATCTACCCCTCAGAGAATCCTGCATTTGGGGCTAAGGGTTTTTTTGAGGGGTAGGGGCAAGGGAATTAGTTGTTGTTTATCCGCTTAGACAGTTGACATGAAATTAATTAATTATTTAATAAAGTTTGAGCTTTCTAAAATATAGTTCTAAACTGATGTTTTGATATAAATTGTGGTAAAGGTTTTTTTAGTTAAGGTAAAGTTTTTCATAGTATAATTTAATTTGATATTAATATAATATATTAAATACTAATTGAATATTATATATTTATTTTGAGGTTTTCTCTTTGAAATCAGTTTGAAGCTTATGATGTTTTATTCACCTTTTAACACTGTGTGTCTCTTCTTGATTTTATGTTCTTTGTTCCGTCTTCTTCCCAGGGTACAGTAAATAAAATGTCTTCTAGTCACATTGGCTGTTTAGTACATGGCTGTTTTAATGCCTCCATCCCTAAACCTGAGCAAACATCAGTTGAGCAGTGGCAAACCCTGGAGATAAATGTGGGTGATGAACTAGAATTTGAAGTATTTCGTTTAGACTCAGATGCTGCTGGAGTATTCTGCATTCGAGGAAAACTAAATATGACTAGGTTAGTTCAACATCACATTACTGTCAATGGATACTTAATAGTTTCTATTTAATTCTGACTGTAGAATTAAACAGAACTTTTTAAGCCTCTCTTTTTAAAAATTCTGTTCATAAGAATATTCATACTTTTAAACTATAAAGTGAATATAAACAGTAATCTTAAATACTATGATAGTGCATCAAATAAATATTCTGAAGCTCTTTAGCTAACTGGTCTGTATTTTAATAACTCAGTTTTACTGAGTATTATGTTTGTTCATTTTTTAAAAAGTTGATTTCTGAACTTGAAACTACTAAAAGCACAGTCATATTGTATAACTACTAGCCTGCTCTTATTTTTACATAATTGAAACAAAATAATTTGTTTTGAGTATTGTCATCTGGGCCAGGTTGATATTATTCTGTATTAAAATTTTTATAAGAATTACTCTGATCTTGAGGTTGGTTTCATGGGAGCCAAGTTTATTAGGTGGGGGGTCTTTTGGAATACTGCTGATGTTAACAATTTTTTACCTTAAGTAACAAGAGCATGGTTTAAAGTTCTGGAACAGCTATCCAATAGAACTTTCTGGAATGATAGAAATGTGCTCTGTATGCACAATGCAGTAGCCTAACTTGAGCACTTGAAATGTCACTGGTGCGAATGAGGAGCTGAGTTTTTAAAGTTATGTCATTGAAATTACTTAAATTTAGATAGTTACTTGTGGCTAGTGCTACTGTACAAGACTGCATTTCTAGAGAGAGAGCTGCTTCATTGATCCTTGTTTTTATTTTAGTGACTTAAAACAATTCATAACTTTGAAGTTACACTGCCTCAGTATAGGTTAAGTAGAACAATGAACTATTAACTTGAAACAAGGATTGAAATAGTAGACAGGAAACTCCCTTAATTTGATACATATCAGAAGTATATTTTCTGTCTATCAAATGTCAATGTTTTGGCTAATAAGCCTGGGTATTGTGATGTTTAACGTTCAGTGACCCAATTTTTCTGACCCAAACCAAAATTTAGAAGACATGTTTTGACAAGATTTTTATGTATGGAAACAGTCTGGGAAAAAAACAGATAATTCTTTAGAAACAAACATTTTTGTTAACTTTAACACTTGAATTTAACATTCAACAACCCAGAGACATTTCAATGGGCTGAAGAATAGATAACAGGTTTAGAATATTTGAAATAAATGCCATAGTTATGCGTCTTATGCTGCTGTCATTATTTTTAAAAAATCTTAGCATCTTGGGATATTCTTGATCTCATTTTGTTCTTTTATTTTCTCTGTTATTTTTTTTAAACTGTTGATTTACAGTTTACAATCCAAGTGTTCTAAAGTTTCAGAAGAAATAACAGAAACCAGTACTGAGGACACTGTTGAAAAACTTCCAAAGAAGAAAAAGAAAAAGAAGAAAGACCAAGAGACATATGAAGCAGATGATGGTACCACAGAGCTAACAGAATTTGCAGATGTCTCCCCAAACAAAGAGACAGACCTGCAGATTACTAATAATGGGAATGGCTTCTGGGAAGAAGAGCCAAAGAAGGAGAAGAAGAAGAAGAAGAAGAAAAAGCACCAAGAACATCAGGATCAGGACCCTATTTTCCTGGGTAGTGACTCCAGTGGTTACCAAAGTGACCATAAAAAGAAAAAAAAGAAAAGAAAACACAGTGGAGATGCTGAATATACCCCACTTTTGGAATGCTTACCTAAAAAGAAAAGGGTAAAATAATATTCTTTAGTGCATTTTAAATATGAATCAGTTTTTAAAAGATTGATTTACATATAGATGAATAAATTGAATGATGTGAGATGCTTGTGTATGTCAGTAGTTTACAAAATGGGAAACTTGATTAGCAGTTGGAGGTTTTTTGTGGTCAAATTACAAAACAGTATAATTTGGGGAATACTAATATTATTAAAGTGCCATTTCACCGAATACAAAAGAAAAAGGTAAGGGCTGCACTCACTCTTGACTCTTGCATTCTTCCAGGTTTTGCACTCTACATAAAATGATTCCACAGTCTCAAAACTAGTAAAAGGACTTCATGATACAGTATTATTCATATCATTAAAGAATGAGTTAAGTTTGGGTTTTTATTTGATTTGGTTTTTTTTTTGTGATAGATTTCACTTCTAGTCATTACATGTTTTATTTCCTTTTTTAAAAACGGAGGACATTTACCAGTTATAGGTTTTTCTTTATCATGACTACTACATTATTTCTGTTGTGTAACTTAGAATGGTTTGCCAAAGGACCTTCTGAAGTCTCCAGAGCCAAGAGCTGTGCCACTTGTCTTTGTGGTGGGAAGCAGTAATTCACTAGTCTTTCCTTCCACGTGCATGTATGTTGTTTTCTTTTTTTTTTTTTCTTTAAGTCTGAGAGGTTGGTGGAAAGGGCTGTTGTCTTGTACTTGTTCATTTGTACCTCAGCAATTTTGATTGTCTATGTGTCGGAGGAGGAGAGTGATGAAGACAGGATAAATGCGACTCTGACTAGTCAGAAACTTTCTGATAACTTTTGAATGGTTGGGGTAGGCTTCTAGAAATTGTTCTGGAGAAAAAAACAGGTGTTCACTACTTCTGTTGAGAAAATGTGTAATATCTTAACTAATAGGAAGACACTGAATAATGAAATGACAAGCTGGTTCAGGCTGATAATCAATGCATGGCCATATTCATTCATTCAACAGATATTTGACCGTCTACTATGTTTAATACATTCTACTAAGGCCCAGGGACATACAGTAAACAAAGAAGATGGAGTTCCTTCTCTCATGGGGTGTCATAGGATAAACATGAACGCACGCGCACGCGCACACACACACACACACACACGGTATACATAAGAAAATATAGAAAATTAGTAATTATGTTAAACTTTGTGAAGAAAAACAATTGTCCACTAACTTGCCTGTGTTACTATCTGCAAGTAGATGAATGGTTGAATTTGACTCACAGTGTTAGCCATTTTTGTTGCGGTTTACTTAGTACCCAACATAATGCTTGCCTCACAGTTTAATGTTTGATAATGAATAAATTCTGCTAGTGGTATATCTTTATCTAAATTTATAACAGTAGGACATAGAGTTTGGAGAGTGGCAGACATTCATACCATTTGTCTACAAGTAGATGTGTCAGAAAATGGAAGGGTGCAGGCCAATGTCTTTTGTTACAATTGAGATTCGTATTAGTATTGAGTCCTTGAAATGTGGCTAGTCCGAACTGAGATGTGCTGTTAGTATAAAACACATACCAGATTTTGAATATATACAAAAAAGAATGTAAACTATCTCAATTTTTATATTGGTGAAATTATAATATTTTTGGTATAATGAGTTAAATAAAATATTAAAATTAATTTCAGTTTTTGTTCACTTTTCTTTTTTAGAAAAATTAAAAATTGCACATGAGGCTCACTCACATCACCATTCTTTTTGACAGTGCCGTTTTAAAGGAAGTACGAGTTCAAAAATGTTTGGAACAAGGTATATTATATTATCAGGATTTAATACAGTGGCATACCCAGAAAATGTTCAATAAGTGCTTCCATCAAAATTTATTTTTTTTGGCGGCTGGCCAGTACGGGAATCCAAACTTGTGACCTTAGTGTTACAAGACTGTGCTCTAACCAACTGTGCTAATCGGCCAGCCTCTTCCGTCAAATTTTAAAATTTGAAATATAATTATACTCATGTTTGACAGCATAGAAAATTTTTAGTGAAACAATTCTAACCCACCCTTCCACCGCCCCTCTCACCGCACTCACACACCAAGACAGGTGTCAAATTCATGCTATTCATGGAAAAATACATTGTAGCTTAGCAAAATAAGCAAATTTCCATGTTATTTTTGTTTTGTTTCAAATGGTACTTCTGCCAATCTTGTTTTAAAATAATTTGCATCTTTGAAGAAAAGAGCAGCATGCTGAACTTGAAACTAGATTTTTTTTTTATCCTTTTTTCACAATATGAGTAGTTTTAAAAAGTCAAATCTGGCCATTTTTCTTGCCTAAAATATAGTGACTTTGTTTTTTTCTGATATGAAGAAAATGATGATAGTGTCCTCTATTCAAAACATTTGTCACATGCTTGCTAACCTAGGCCTTGTCTATTCTGTCTTTGAATTTGCTCTTTAAAACCCTCTAGCCTAGACTAGACCCCTTACCTTCTCTCTAATTACAGTAATTCACAAATTTTATACTATGCAAGGTACCTTGTTAGTCATTGGAAATTAATAGATGATTTAAGCAGTTTGTGCTCTTAAGGGCTTAAAGTTTTGTCTGTGAGATATACAAGTGATTGTAAATGACAGGTACAAAAAGTATGAATCGAGTGTTGTGGAAAGTCGTGAATAGTGCCACTTTTGCTGGTGGAAGCAGAGGGTAATGTTTAAGCAGATTGCCGGATGAACAGCATTTTGACCAGTGGAGAAGGGAAAAGGCTGTGGCATTCTAGTGGGAGAGCTTGCAGAGGCCTGAGAGGTGTCTAATACAAAAGACCTCAGACACTACTTTCTACATAAAGTTTTTCCAGACTAACGTGGGCTAAATGCACTTGTTTTGTAACCATAATTCTTATTTTTCTTTAATAGAAAATTTTCTACTTGTAGCACTCTACATTATTGTTTCAAACTATTCATCTTTTTATAGAGCTTGTTTCTTGATCAAATTTGTCTCAACCAAATAAGTTTCTTGATGGATGAGATTGTGCCTTAACTATATCTGCAGTATTTACCAGCAAATCTTTTAAAGTCAAAGCATAAACAGATACTTTTAAATTGATAATTAAATGAAAAGCACATGTTCACCTGGTATCAGTTTGTCTCTGATGTGATATTCTTAACCTTTCCACCCAGTCTTTAAATAAAGGCATTCACTGTTTTGTCTATACAAGTTTCAATTATTTTTATCCCTTTTGTGTGTCAGCAATAATTTAGAGGGGGAACTTCCAAACAGCAGAAATTGGTTTCTAAGCTGATTTATACATTCACCATATGAATCATTGGAAAGTTTTCTTCCAAAAAGAAGACATTTTGTGTTATAATATGTATTCATTCATTTAAAAAATTCAGCTAGCAAAATATAAAATATGTCTTTCTACTCTACCAGTTATTGATCTCCTTCCTCTTCTCTCCCCCCCCCACACACACCCCCTTGACAATTTTACTTCTTAATGTCAACCTGAATAACAGAAATTCTCTCTTAAAAAAGATGATATTCATTTGGGAATAGGGCATGGCAATGGGTATACAGGTGCCATAGTAAACTGTGTGTATTCAGGGAGGTAAAGGAAGACAAAGGGTTTTATAGGAAAAATGATGGAGGATTACATAATTGTTTTGGGGTAATTATCTCTGGCTACAAGGGTCAATAACAAGGGTAACACCAGGCCAAGTTTAGACAGGCAGTTGCTGGGCAGATGTCCTTGCAGAAGTATTTCTTAATTAGGGTTGCAGTAGCCTCTGTGCAAGGTTGTGACTTTGCAGAGTCCTTTGTGACAGTTCTTGTTATTAGGCACGAGCGCATGAGAACTCCCCCTTTCATGACCTTTCCCTGGCTCTATTTGTCAGGGGTTTTAACACAAGAGACTCCATTTTGATTATGAAAAGCTTCATGCCAGAAATAACCGCTATTGTCAATTCTGTGTGTAGTTTTAGAGGATTTTTTTTTTCCATAAATTTAAAAATATTTTCAAACATAAATGGAATCAAACTACTCATACTCTTTGGACCTACTCTCTTTCATTTGACATTATGGATCTCAACATATGAACATATAAAGGTCTTCCTTTTTTCAATGCCTGCAGACTTTCAATGTATCATTTGCTTTATTTTCTAATAATGAATAATTTGATTTTTTATATTTTCTTTTTAAGACGCACATTCAACGTATGTATATCCATCTTTATATGCCTCATAAAGTGCTAGAAGTGGAATAGCAGTTATTTAAGGAAATAAGCAGTTTTACCTTTTGATATAGATTTTCAGATTGTTTTCTAGGAAAGTCGCACAGTTTACAATCCTACCAGCAATTTATGGTTAGCAGCCTTGCACACATGGAGGATTACCAATCATTTTAATTTCTGACAATCTGATAGATGAAAATATTATGTAATTTATATGTATTTTGTCATTAGTGAGCTTAAAATACTTTTGTCCATGCATTTATTTTCTTGTAAATTTCTTTTTATATCCTTTGATTCTTGTGGGATGTTTTTCCACTTATTAATCTCTTTCTTTTTTTGTTTTCATTGGCTGGTGGGTACAGGGATTCAAACACTTGACCTTGATGTTATGACACCATGCTCTAACTAACTGAGCTAACTGGCCAGACCTATTACTCATTTTTGAAGACCTCTCTACATAATAAGGATGATAATGTTTCCTATTAGTCATGTTCAAGCAATTTTTATAATTTTTCATTTATGTTTTAAATTTAATTATTCACTGTTCAGAAATGTTTATTTTTATGTAATCAATAATGTCAGTAATTTCTTTTGTCTGAGTTTTATCTTAGATAGTGTTCTTGTACAGGCATTTCCCATCCCAAGATTATAAGCTACTCTTATATGTTTTCTTTCAGTACTTTTATCATTTTACTTTTTTTACATTTAGAATTTTAGTCCACCTGAAATTGGAATATGGTTTGGTACAGGAATTTATTTATTTTTTCCAAATTGGTGTCCATATGTTTCCAAACTATTCATTAATTAACCCATATTTTCTCTACTGATTTTAAGAGCTAATCTTAGTTTACACTGCATTCCACATACTATAAATGGTCCTGTTTCTCTTCTACAATATACTTAACATTTTCTGATAAAGGACCTCATTGTTCATTACCATAATGTGTTAGGCAGAATTCTTACATTGCACTTGAGATTTCTCACCCTAATCCTCTGAACTGAAGATAATGAATTTTACCTCCATGATTAGGTTATATGATATGGCACAATTGGCTTTAAGAAAAGGAAGTGATCTAGGTGGGCCTAACCCAATTACATGAGCCTTTTAAAATCAGAATTTTGTCCAGCTGGTGGCAGAAGAGGATGTGAGAGAAATTTGAAGCCTGAGAAGAATTTAAAGCTAGTGAGAGTCTTCGAGTCTTCCTTACTGGAGGTGGAGGAGGCCATATCCCTGGCCAACAGCTAGCAGGAAAACAAGGATCTCTTCTACATCCACAAGGAACTGAATTCTGCCAGTGACAAGAATTAGCCTAGAAGCAGACTTTTTTCAAATTATCCAGATGAAAATTCAACACCCTGATTTCAGTCTTTTAAAATCCTGAGCAGAAAACCAACCCATGCCTAATCAGACTTCTGACTGGCAGAACTGTAAACTATTGAATGGGTATTCTTTTAAGCCACTATGTTTGTGGAAATTTGTCAGCCATAGAAAACTAATATGCATGACTTTATTGTACATTTTGATATGTGATAAAAATATCCTTTACTATGCACTTTCAAAATCGTATTGGCTCATTTCTTGCATATAGTCTTCTGGGTATACTTAAAAATAGATTTTGTCAAGCTGGAAAGGGAAGATTTTGGGGACTATGATTGGAATT